GACGACGACGTCTCTGTAACAGAGCTCGTTGTCGTTGTGGAATCAGTGCTGGCAGTTGACGACGGCGTCACTGTTTCAGAGCTCGTTGTCGTTGTGGAATCCGAGCTCAAGTCACACATGTCGTCTATGTCCTGCAAACACTGATTGACGCACGGACTAACACCCTCATTGGCTCTGGATGTGAGACAAACTTGACCGCTGGGGCAGGTGCCTTGTACAGTTGTTGCTTCGCCTGCTGAGCACATGGTGAATGTGGTGTGACTGGTGCAAGAGTAGGCGCCATCGTTGACAGCTTCACAATTTCCGCATTGTTCGGTATTGCCGCAAGCAGCCTGAATCAGAGAATTGCTTTCGGCATCTGCACAAATTGAGCCTAGAGAGGTGCACACCTCACCCTCGTTGGGACAAGACCACGTCGTTCCCTGTGGTACACCTAGACACATGCAAGATTGAGAATTTATAGGGTTTCTTAAAGAATCCAAGAAGGAAAACAAATGCTTACCGTTAAAACATAACTGAAACGTGGTGTTCGTGGTGCAAGCGACGCCATTGTTTGTGTTGCAGACATTGCATTCGGCTTTGACTTGCCGTGGCGCTACCAACAAAGCTACTAGAATCGCCAACTATTAAGGGTGATGGTGAGTAGAAGTTTTAGTAAATATTTGTATTTTTAAATAATCTGTAGCTCATGCTTACACTTGTTTTCCACATAATGAGAATATGCTGTGGATCGCTGCGTGTCGGATGTACGAGCAACTCTGCTGCTGAAATATTCTTTTAACTAAACTTCTAGCAACTGAAACTGTGGGTTTTATAATTTTCCTGTTGAGGTGAGAAAAAAAAACTAGCCATAATTTATATTCTGTCACTTTGGGAATGAGATTACGACCAAAGATAAGTTTACGGAGATTCATGTACCAAACGTCGTTTAGGTTTATTTGTGTGTGTGTGAGTGATGGCGTATAAAAGTGTGATTGACTTTTCCAAGGAGATGTTATTTAGTTAAACTACAAAATACAATTAGAAGTCCAGCGTAGAAGGTTAAATTAAAATCTTTTGTTAAATTAGTAATTTTTATTTATGTAATGATTAGAAACATCAAAAAATATCTAGTTTTTGTCTGACCTTGTCACAACACATAGCTTTAAGACATTGACTAGAAAGACAAATTTGTAGGAGATTTTATTCAGAAACGCTAAACAGGATCCAATGAACCGGTTTACGTGTGGCTTAAAACTAATTGTGAGGTGAGTCTTCTTAATGGAAGTCTAATGTTGGACCTCATTCAGAGGTACAGAACTGGATTTCTCACACTGGGCGAAATATATGGGTCTGGCTAGCCATTACTAAGGATTACGTTGTTAAATACTCGGCCGAATTTAGAGGTTAGCTTCCTTTAGCGTAACGAGTTCCACGAGATCGTGCCCAAAGGTGGTGCTCAACATTACCGATAGATATTTTTATTTTATTGTGGACTTTAAGTTTCCGGAAAGAAAGGCGATTCGGCAACATCCTAATTAGGCTTACATCTGATATAAAAGCTCTGCTTACCGACTATATCATACAAAACGCCGGATCCAGCTGCCTGTACAGATGGATCAAGTATGGTATAAGGCCATGTGGAGATAAGACAGACGACTAACTTGAGAGAATCGGCAGGAAAAACACAAAAACAGAGTTGAACTTCAAATAAACTCACCGTACTCTGGCGGAAATTTTGAGTATAAGACTTGAAAATTCTTTCAGATCTTGAGTGGCCCGAAAAAGTCCGACAGATTCCAACTTGTGGTACCAAAGGGAAGAATCCATGCGAGGAACCTTAACATAAATTAATTTTGCTCCCTTTACAGCTGTAAGTAATAAATTCAGCGTTCGGCTGTCCCATTCCAATGGTTCGATATAAGACTACTGTATGTTCTAAAAGTCACTGTTCTACACATCCTAACCTTACTTCTAAATACAAGCTTTCGTTTTAAACAAATTTTATTCAGTTCACTGCTATTCGGGAGTTCGACATATAGGACCAGATTTGGATAGCATTCTTGCAGCCGACCAGTTCTTTGAGAACTTTCGGCATATTTTTAAGCATTTGAAGTTTTTTTTTCATAGCGACAGTCACCAGGAGTGTATTTAGCTTCGCTATATAATCTTGATTGTATACAAAAATATGTATGTATGTATGCATAATCTTATTTACATTTGAATTAAGTGCCGTTATCATTACGCATCGTAGTGGCGACAACTCAAATGTGATATAAAAACCAGGCCGTCGAATTTAGACAAATTTAGTCTTAGTGCGGAAAGCAAATAGAACAGTAACAAAATGAAGCAACACACAACGGTTTTAATTTTGGTTCGTACATACATATAAACATACATAGCATACGCCGAATGAACTTTGTATTATTTTAGCTCCTCACAATTGCGACCACAACATTGCTGGTGCATCAAACTACGGCGAGCTGTGGCGTATGTGGCACAAATGGTATTGCATGCATCAGTGAAACTGAATTCTATTTATGTTTTAACAGCCAGCCAGATAATAGTACCGTTCAAACATGCCCCAATAATGGCACCTGCACTAGTCTAATGCTCAAATGTTCCGATGCGGCAAATGCTCCCGCAGACTGTGAGCCCCTCGCTTGTGGCTGTACTGTGGATAGCGGCATGTTTGTCTGCACCAGCCGCACCACCTACGCTCAATGCAATGGCAACGTAACCGTAGCGACGGGAACTTGTCCCACAGGACTTACTTGTGCTGCTACAAGAGGAGGAGAGATTTGTGTTGACGACTGTCTGTTGGAAGGTGAAATAGAATGTGATCGGGCAGCGTCTGAAAATTAGATGCGGGGCATTTGTTTTTGGTATATGTAATATAAATCCATTCACATATATGTATGTATGTATATGTATGTAAGCGTTACAATGTTATTGAAATAGTTTTAAATGAAGAATAATTTAATAAAAAATCCAAAATAAATTGAAAATCACGTTTATAACTTTAGTTTTGTGAGCGATAACTAGAAATTGCAAGGATTCATGAAAACATCATCTATGCAGCTGCCGCTATGGTGTAATGGTTAGAAGTGTGCGCTATCATTCCGCAAGGCCTGGGTTGAAGCCCGGTTTCTGACCAACATCAAAAATAAAACAAAATAAAAAGTTACGTACAAGGTAGGGATGTCCGTGGCAAAAATACATCGATGTTTTTCTTTGATTCGATGCATCGAAATATGCATCGATTTGCATAGGATTTTTCAGATAATGTTTCACAACAAAATATGTTATTAGCAAAATTGTAGAAAATTTGAAATAAATTACTGCAACCGAGCTAATTATGTTTCTAACGGAACTTCTTGCAGCCATTTAAATTTTTTGGTCAAAGTCACTTCTTTTTTCTGAACAAATGAAAAACTGGAATGACGGTTCAATGTACCGTAGATGTCAGTTTTCGAAAAACTTCGATACATCGATGCATCGATACATCGACTATTTATACATCGAGTGGAAAATTTTCGATGCATCGAAGCAAAACATCGATATTTTCGATGCATCGATGTTTTTCCGACATCCCTAATACAAGGATATGTAGAATATGTAATCCTGATCAAAAAAACTCACGTTCCGTAGAAAGAACTTCATATTTCGAGGAAACCATTTCTTTGAAGGGGCTTTCCTTCAATTTTAACACTTTGGCAAAATATCGAGTCGTTTTTGAGACTTGTAGATATGGTTTGAAGAATTCTCTTACTTCTCGATATCACGATGGATCTCTGCAAGAAACGGCCCCTCTTACTTGGCCTATTAGCCTCGATTAGTCTTAAGCTCTAAACAAATGTTTGTACATACTATATATGTAACTTTGTTTTTTTTTGTTTTTAAAGACGTGTATCGGTTTTGAACCAGATTAACCGCTCTTTTCTCTTATTTCACTCAACCATTTACCGAACCAAAAATTTGCACAAATATTTGATTCGAACCGGAACCCGAATCGCTTTTTTTAAAGGCCAATTTTTAATGGAATGGACTTTATAATTTATTCTTTTGTTAAATATGGAATTACCATGTTTTTTACCATTTGACAATATTTTGCTTCTGTGTATTTGTATGCTTTAAAAAAACACAAATATACGTACATCATAACAAATATTTTCACTAAAACTTAGCTATGCATAAGCAAATACATATATGTAGCTGTGTTTGTGTACTCATAGTATTAACAGAAAATATTATTCTAAGTAAAATGTTATGGATGGTTCATGAACTTTGCTACGATCTCCTTGAACATAGGGAGGACGGGCGATTATTTTCTCCGCTTTGAATTGAGACCGAAAACGTGACGTACTTCCGTTGGCATTCCTCTTTCTCAGAAATAACACTTGAATAACCTTCAATGGGGAACGTTTAGTGCTACTTTTTGGCATACGGATTCTTAGAATATTGCTTGTAAAAAATCTTATCTGAAGATACAAATATCAATATATATCTGAATCACATTCCGTCAAAGTTAGATATTTTTTACTAACATTCGTAACAAATTCTTACTGCAAAGTCAATTTCAGTGATAAGAATTAAGTAGTTTACCGCTAAGTGGCGTATGTTCAGTAGCTGTTTAGCATAAATCTCGTTTATCCCTGAGATTAACAAGAACGATAAGCACATCCACAGATTTGCCTGATGCAAATATTTACAGGTAAGTTTAATTTATTTTTTTTACACATACACACTTACACACATGAATGCATGATTTGTAAAATATTTTTGTTTTATGCGCATGCTTGGTCTTATCAAATGTACCAACCTTCGGGAAAAATGTTCCACCAGAACAGTGGCCGACTATAAAGCTGAGTGCAATAGAAATCTCAAATTTAGTTGATCCCAGCTGATCATTGCGTACACCATCCCCACAATGCGCTGTGCACAAGTTTTCTTAATAGTAAGCCACACAAATATAGAGAAAATATTTTATTTCAATAAGTTCTAATTACGAAATCGTTTCATTTGCAGAGTTGCCTTGTCGCCGCAGCCTGCGTATTCGCTCCGACGTCGGCCAAGTGTCGCACCTGTGGCCTCAATGGCATTGCCTGTGCCAGCGAGAATACTTTCCACATCTGTTCCCACGGACTTGCAGACACTTCGCAGATTTTCACTTGCCCCGAAGCGAATGTGTGCGTCGGCGACAGCAATGCGAAATGCGTGCCGAATGCGGTGGCCGATTGTTCGAAGCAACGTAGCCGATGTGGGGTCTGCGATGGCAGCAAACTGTTTACCTGCCTCACATCAACAACATTTGCGCAATGTAACAGCACATTGTTGCTGCGTAGCATCAGCGGTAGTTGCCCCAGTGGACTGACCTGTGATTCATCGAGTCCGGAAATTTGTGTTGTAGGTGGAGCGGAATGCTCATAGAAATTAAATGTTTTAAGGAAATTGTTTAAGAATTTGAGATTTTGTGTGTTTAAGTGTATTACTTATTAAAAAAAATTTTGAGTATCGGCTGAGCTACATATTCTGCAATTCATGCGGGGGAAGAAACGAATCGAATACGTGCAAGCATAGAGAGAGAGAGTATTCGCTTAACATTAACAAAACTGCGAGCCTTGGTTCGAATCGCAGTTGGCGGAGATTTTTATTTTTTGAAAGTGACTAGTCGCTTTTTATACCCGTTCGGGTATAAAGAGGAAAGATGAGTCTCTTTATAGGATATGTTCGAACAAAAGCGAACAGTTCATTCCACATAAAGAGATCAAAAGTGGGGTACTAGTTAGATAAAGTTGCTCATACGCCACCGTGGTCAAGAAATCGCACTGCGATATTAAGTTGAAACAAGCATAAGAAAGCAAGCTGGCGCGTTTTATATCAAAAGTAATACTTCTTAAATAGCAGAACAAGCACCACAGCGACCTGAAAGATTTGTTGTATTCCAAAACAAGGTCCTTTACCTGCGATGCGCAAGATACCTTCCCTTCTCTTAGTTGAGGATCATTATGGTGCCAACGCCTTGGCGATCTGTGGCATCAAAGTGTGTTACCAAAATTGCTTAAGTTCACTTTAGCCAATCGTATTTCGCTCTGCTACTACAGATTGTGACATATGAGTAGATACGTATCAAACCTGCCTAATAGCCTATTTCCACCAAAGGCTTAACTGAAGTTAAGAGGTCAGAGAAGGTCCAAGAATTCTAACATGCGGTGATCGGCAATGTTCTTCGTTTCTTAATTTTTGTTTTTTCCTCTTTGTTTTCCCCTTGAGTTGTAATCTTCTTGTAATCTCACTCAGGTATCGATATGGTATTTATCAAACGAGTAAAAATTGTAACTTTGTATTTTTGACACAATCACACTTTTGGGCGAAAATAGGCATTTCCCCTTTAATTTTTTCGTTTGTGTGGGGTAGATTCTTCTCGAATTTGTAGCCAGCATTAATCACCCATCATGCCTTCGTTCCAAAAGTCTTTCTATCGTTTTTCAAATGCTGCGATAACCCGATGGAATCTTTCGTCTTGCTCATCGCTCTCGATTAGATGGGGTTTTGACGAATAACTGCGAAAAGTATCTACCCAAATAACACAGTTTTCGAAAAAATATAAAAAACGCTTTTTAAAAATTGGTATTAAATTCGTTGTCAACGACCCAAAGTTAGCCTAGAAAATATTTTTTACTTTTTTAATTTGTAATGTAAACTAGGGTAATGAGCTCAATTTTTATAAAGAAAAATAGCCAAAATTGGTCGAACTCTAAATTTCATTCTAGCTACGCCGATGGTTGAGCACAACGGTAGGGGTACAGTGACCATCCGTCCTGTATTATACGGGACAGTTCTCTTTTTTGACACATTGTCCTGGTAATTTATTTATTTTGTCCCGTATTCGGTGTTTCGACCACTTAACAGCTCGTTAAAATGGCATGCCTACGAACGAGTTTTAAGTGATGTTGGTATATGATCGTAGTTTTCTCCATAAACAGTTATTATTTTCTAATCGGAATGCCTGTGATTCGAATCGAAGAATACATACAGTGACCAAAATAAAAATTAGTACTCGACATTTTAGTGAGTTTTGGCTATTTTTCCTTAGTTTATTTAATGTTTATTATTTATTTTATGAAAGTAAAGCTCTTTTCCTAACAAAAACCATATAATACCAAATTTCCAACTTTGTGCAAAAAACTATAAAAATTAATTCTGCAATGTTTCTCCAAAATTTCAAACTTTTTAATCAGGATCTTTAGAAAAAAAAATTGGTGGCAAGTGGAAAGTGCGGCTCATTTGCTTCCCTTTCAAATAAAAAAGGTCGAACATATTTACTTTGTATGAAAAAAATGCGTAACACCGTGAACAAAAAAAAATAAATCCAAAAATTAATGGTAAGCCTTAGCAACTTATAATTACACTTTATTATACTAAAATTTAACGATTTTTTTTAACAAATTTTAGGGGGAAAAATCTCGAGAAAAGTATCCTACAAATTTGTGATGTTACTATAAGGATACTGTTTCAGGGCTAATACAACTAGGATCATTGGAGAAGGTTTTAAGATCTGTAAGCTGTTTTGGAAAAAATTTGCAAAATTATTTTTGTTCCGTATTCGGCTCTTGCAAATATGGTCAACCAAAGTATAGGTATAGCACAACAGCACAATTGAGATAATTTAATTCAGCAGCCAATTTTTCTGCGGTCTATATACTACTACATACTTAAGTATAATGACGTGAAGCACTCAATTCACTTCTCTGACATTGGCCTATATTCGGGCAAAGCAAAAACTTATGTAACCTAGAAAAAAATTACAAAAAAAAAGAGTGGCATTTATCACACATTTTAATTTATTAGCTGACGAAAAAATGGGTTTAACTGTTGGTTGTCCTACATACCCTACATACCTACCTACATATACATACATATGTACATATATCGTAATAACTAATAAAATATACTCTACAGCACATGAATACTAAATAACAACGGGTAAAGCTACCCAATAAGCACTGGGTTTGGTTAACAAATTGAAAATGACTGGAAAACTAATCTTGTTTTCGATTCTCAACTTCGATAACGAATGTGGAAATGGTTAGTTTCGATTCGAGAACTAGGCCATTCTTCGTTATCCAATGTATTTTCCCTTCGTTATGAATTCGAAATCGAGAACGTTATCGAATTAAAATTTTTATGAGGGAAACCGTTTGTCTTATATTTCCGCTTGAGAATGAGCTGGATTTTACTATGGTTATGACATTTTTTCGAAGCCATTTCGTGTGTATTTCCAGTATACTATGAACATTGGAAATCTAAGGTTGTTTATGAGTTTGTTCTCAGTTTGATATGCATATTGGATAACGAAGGTCATTCTCGAACGTTCGCCAAAATGTTTATTGGGTACATACATACATGCGTGTGTATGTATTTGTAAAGCGCAACAATTTTAGCACTTATGTGAATCTAATCCAAAGCCATTATTTACATTCTATGCTGAAAGAGATTGCTCCAGTGGGTGCCAAAATTGTGGGAATTGCAAAAGGTGTTGCTGCGAAGCGAAAATAATTGCCACCAGGAAATCCTGCAGAGACAGTTGTTGACAAAATGCCACATTTTAGTGTAAATAAAATGCTAGAGCATACACGCGCGCCAATACATACAGTCAGCGTCATATGTAAGTGTACACCTTGTTTTAAAAAATATTCATAATTATTTTCATGAACAATTTTTTGCATAAACTATTTATAAAAATATAGTTCATTCTACGATAAAACCATATAAATCAATGTTTCAAACCTTATATAAAGTTTACAAAAATTAAAAAAAAAAATTATCAAAATTTGTATTCGGAAATCCTAGAAAATGTTCGTGTATGCAGTTTTGTAGCCCATTAAATTTTAGTAATATATAGTGCAAGTTTCAAGTCGTTAAAATTACCGTTGATTTTTTTTTATTTTGTTTTTTTTTTTTGTGGAGGGTGTTGCGCCTTTTCTTCCATATAAAATCAGATTTTGATCATGCGTTGCACTAAAATTTATTGGGCTACTAAACTGAATACTCGAATATTTACTATATTTTCATAAATAAAAATTGTTCGTGAAAATAATTGTGAATATTATATTGGAAGAGGGTGTGCACTTACATTTGACGCTGACTGTACATACATACATACCTCCGTTATGTGCGGTACCGTGACAGTTGGCCCGGAATTAAATGGAAATGACATTGACAAATATCGCGCCAAGCAGACTAAGCTGTAAAAATTTTCGTATCTGCGTTGATCTGCGATTGAGTTCAAATGATGAATTTTATAGCCATGGTTGCCATAAATTAAAAAAAAATTATTTTGACTTTTCGATACTAAGAAATCTTAATCTAAGCATCTATTGTTCCAACGACTACGTTACCCATTGCTTTGAAGTTTTGGAACTATTCAATGCTCAAAGCCAATGAAAATTTGATCATCGATCTCCTTAAAAAAGTACTGACGAGTGACAAGAGAGAATCTAATTCTCGATATATTTATTGTTTTCAATACTTCTTTAATATTTTCCTTAACGCCGTTCACGCCGACATTTGGCAACAAAGGCTGCGAGAGTATACAAAATAAATGCAACAAAAATATGTAAGTACGTACGTATGTGCGTACCTCAGATAATAATAGTATAAGTGTGAGCATTAAACGTTTACACCCGCGTACATTTGTATGTATGTATGTATGTATGTATATTCGCCGCCACCAGCTAATTGTAGCGCAACTAACTGCCTTACATCAACAACAAATTAGTCGATTATTTTACAAATATGCCATGTGTTTAACTCTCTTCTAACCAAGATCGTTCATACATATGTATGCACTTACACAGCCATGTAAACGTTAGGGTGGCCCAAAAAAAAGTAGAGTCGGAATTTTAGTACTAAAGATATTTGATTGGTCCCCTTTTTTGCTTTTTCTGGGGATTTTTACGGACCTGTAAAACATAGTTACTAAAAAAATAAATTGAATAAATTAGGCATTATTATTGGGAATCTCCTGGAGAGCAACAAAGCTTTCCGATTGAAAAATATTGATTTTCAAGAGTTCTATACCAACTCTACGAAAGTTTGTTTTTGCCCATATAAAAATACATGGAAAACTTTGAGAGCTTTGAGCGACCTGTATATATATTTTTTTTATTTCAAAATAAAAAATAGGGGTAATTTTTTTTTCTGTATAGAACAATCCTAGAGGTCGACAGCATACAAATTCCGACTTTACATTTTCACATGTATATTTGGACCACCCTAATGTACATACATCAGCGATTTGTCACAAACATCAACCACCCCATCAACTTTTTTTTTGTGTTTTTTCTTTCACTCTCTGCATTTTCTGCAATTATAAAATTCATATAATCAACACCGTTGACGGTCATTAAACTGTTTTTCTTGCACCCACTACTAACTGTTGGGCTTGGCAGCAAAGTGTGTGGCACATAAATTGCGCACATAGTCGCGCTTGCGCGTCAGTGCGTCTCCGGTTGCCACTCGAAGAGGATTATCCCTTAAAAAACTTACGAAAATATTTCAAAATTAAAATGTTTAAACAAAATATTACATTCAAGTATACAAGCAGCATAAAGATCGCGTTTGGTATATTCATTTCGTTGGCATTTGGTCTATCTCCCAGTTTGTGCAAAGTTGCACAGCGAAGTTCGTGGAAGGACATTTTATTCGGCAGCAAATGGTTGCCTTCCATTGCTTCACGCGATTCAAGGTGTATGTTGGTGATATATTAGATTATTAGCATAATTAAATACAAACACAAAATTAAAACAATATCTGTGTTTTGTGGTTTAATATTTGAAGAGAAATTTGTTGTAAAAAAAAGGAATTACATAGTTCGAAATGGAATTGAAACATGTGATAAATGAATAATTATAATTTTAAAAATATAAAATAATGTTTCCCTACACTATCTATAAAGTTCAACACTTCTCAAATGAATTTAATGCAACCTCTTAAAAATAAGAAAATGGTGCGGAATATTGCTCAAAGAAGTGGAAGCCCTGAAACTTCTAACATCGAACGTCAATACTGTTCTAATTTTGTTATGGTGAACTTTTAGAGATCAAATTTCTGATCTCATAACCTCAAAGAAATCTTTATAAAGGATACAGCAATTCATATAAAAGCGTTGCAAGGACTTTTTGATGCCATTTACGATTTTCGACAAGATTTTCAAAAATATGATTTATTCAAAAATTATTAAAAAGAAATGGTGAAATGTAGATTAACAATATTTGTGGATACTAAAAGAAGGAGAAAATTCTGTAGCATTTAAAAACATTACAGTTTTTTGGTTTACAAAGACGAATAAGTATTGAAAATGCAGAGGACGAAATTCGAGGATGTGGTCGTGTGTATATTTATTACCCATTCGTCCTTTTGCACCAACAAATTTGATGTTTTATAATTCTACAGAATTTTCTCTTTCATTTGTTGGCCTACATAGCTGAATTTTCAAAATAATTGTTTAAATTAATCATATATTTGAAATTTCAAAGTTCTTTTAAAAAAATCATATCATGACATCAGAGAGAAAAACTAAATACGCAGTTTTACTATATTTTGCCCATAGCTTCGCGAACATATTAATTTTTTGTGTGTGTAAAATTTACTGTCGCACGATGTTATGAAATAAACTATATTTAAAAAAAAAGTATTAAAAATTTCATATAAAAATGTAAATATTAAAAACTTTTGGGTGTCGTATAGTTATGACAAGCACTATAGATCTGTTGTCCTAGCCATTTACAAAATCACTCTAGATTTACCTCTTTTTGAAAGTAGGCACTTTATGAGCAACTTGCAGCGATAGCATCCTGCAGTGTCCTATCTGGCAGCTAGTGAGAGTCTTTGGGTTTTTCTGGCTAAGATTCAGAACTTGTTCAAGCAACGGAAGTTATGAATCTCTTAGACTGCCTTTCGGCTTTGTCATTTGCCCCTGGGCGGCAACTTGAAAACTTCCTACGTCACCATTAGCTCTTAGGAGAACACTTGCTATGTCCTTTATGAAAGCTTCCGGTAAAACCCTGGAACTTGAACGAAATAGGTTTTGGTATCATTATATGTATAAGAAGTGAGGCGGAAATGGCTGAAGGGAGAGATTAATTTAGGTTTGGAGTCCATACTAATTTTAATTGGGACAAAACTTCTCTTATATTTTTCGAATACGCCTCGATATTTCAAGCCGAGTTTAAGACAGACTTCAAGGACTTCGTCGTGAGGAATATGTGGGGAGGTAGGAGTTAACGTGTCCGCAGTGATAGTGAACATTTTTTTGCTATTAGGGGTACTCACCAAGAATTATGTGACCCACAACCATTTATAGCACCCCAGTTTCGATGCCATCGGCAGAAAATCACTCAATTAAAACAATTTACAGCCATATCTAAACAAAAGCGTTGAGCGGAGTGTTGTTTGCCGCCAAGCGGTAACGCCAAATGTCAAATGTAAAAATAACAGCAACAAAGAGTATAAGTTTGTTTGTGTGTAGCACGAACATGACAGTTTCGTCATTTTCACTAATGCTCTGTCAAAATCGGATTTTCCAACCGCTAAGCGTTGCTGCCGCGTTATTTCGGTATGCTTCATACAAATTATAAGGGCGTGAGAAATTTTTGAAAGCCAGTCGCTTACAATTCCTCTTTATGTCTTTGAAGAGTACAGCGGAGCAGACTTTATGGTCCTGTTTCGACTTCGCTTGTATTAGGCGTGCAGCATTTGGAGGAGATATGTAAAAAGACGAGTCCTTTGACACGCACCGATCTGCTTTGCTTTATTCGCTTATCGAAAGTGTAATATATGTTTTCCGCAGGGCTAAGGAGCAAAAGATTTTGGCTGGAGCGAAGCAGGAGCAAAGAGTTAAAAAAAATTCATTTGCTCCTTAGTTCCTTAAAGAAAATTAAACTTACTTAATTTTTTATTTTTGCCACTGAATACAAATTTTCATTTTACTAAAAACCACTAAAATTTTCGTTCATTTACGTATCGCAAAACGTTCAAAAAAGTGCGATTGTCCTAGGAACCGAACAGAAAATGACTTAAATTTTCATTCATTTTCGTATCCGGAAAACGTTCCAAAATGATGATGTTATTTGAAAGCAATAATTGTATTTTATTTGTTCAGGCTGCTAGTATTTGTTAGCTTTTAGAAGGTGTCGGGTTCGAATGCCCTCAGGCGCTGCTTTATTTCATATTTTTTCGAACCATGAAAAAGCATCTGTGAAGTGCAGAAGGAAAGCTTATTGAACAAAAAATTTAAATTTTAGAAAAACAGTCAAAAACGTATCCGTTTCGAAACAATTTTTGGTGCTTGTCTGTAAAACGCCAAAGTATTCGAAAATGGAATCGCTAAATGGATAAAAATCCGCATTTCACCAACTTTTTTTTTGCTTTTTTCGAATATATTTTCGGGTTTTTTGCTGGCTGGGTTAATAGCCCTAACCGCGAAAAAAACGTAAGCGACAAAAAAAATAATAATAATAAAAAAATTCGGTTAATTTTTTTGGCGGTTAGCGAACAATAAGTAAAAAAATAAATACAAATTTTTATTGGGAGCTGGAGCGGAGTGATGAAAAAAAACCCTTTGCTCCGAAGCCCTGGTTTTCCGGGTAAATTTTTTTACAAGCTTTGTTTGTGTTAGTTTCGTCAAGAAGCATATACAAAATTATCACATTCAGATAATTCTGTTTTGATCAAATGATTAGCTCCTACGCTTTCAAAATTCTACAATGGAAATGTTGCTAAATTCATTATAAATTTCATTTAATTTTGCAGTTCTACCGATCTTTAGCGTGGTTCCTATTGGCCCGGGCAGCTGTACGGCTTCATCTGGGGAGCATGGCACCTGTATACCAAGCAAGGATTGCGTGCTGCGCGCAGGAATACCAGCAGGACCTTGCGCTGGTGGCTATGGGCTGTGCTGTGTTTGTAAATAAGAAATTTATTAACAATAAAAGCAAAATTGTACTATTGTACTATTATTTTAAGCATAAAATGTGTTTTCTATGATTTTAGTTCTACAAACATGCGGCGGCATTATACGTCAGAACTCCACCTACTTCGTCAATCCAAATCATCCGGATGTGTATGATGGCACTGGAAGCTGTCAGGTGACAGTGCAAAAGATACATCCAGATGTTTGCCAGCTGAGGTTGGTAGTGAGTTTACAACGAAAATTTATTCTCTTAAGCTTTGTCTCATTTCCAGACTCGATTTGGATATGTTCTCCGTTGCGCCACCCGAGTCACTGAATCACGTCTGCAATCAGGATCAACTGCTCATCTCTGGCGGCAGTCCAATTCCCACAATTTGTGGCTCTTCGGCTGGCGACCATAGTGAGTTTTAAACCTTTATGCGTTTAGAATCAATAAAAACAAAATGATACTTTTTCGTAGTGTATATAGACGCAGGGCTGGGACAAAGCAACGCCATCGTGCTCTCCGTCATTACGAGTGGCACATTTTCGCGTCTCTGGCGCATTCGTGTGACCCAAATCCATTGCGGTAGTTTGAGTCGCGCCGATCATGGCTGCTTGCAATACTTCACCGGCATTAGTGGGCGTGTGCGCAGTTTCAACTTCAACACCGTAACTGGGCGACAGCTCTCCAATCAGGACTACAGTATTTGCATACGCGCAGAGCGCAACTTTTGCAGCATACAATACAACGCTTGTCCCGATACTGGTGAGTGCGCGCCTCTGAAATGGAGTTGCTCGTTAAGACAGAAGCTTTTATTTTCTCCCACCCCCCTTTAAGAGAACAATCGCTCGCGTTCATTCACTATCTCAGGGAACTCAAACAATCCCACCGGTTCCATGGTGGGTGGCGGCACGCAAGTGACACAGAATACCTGCATCAACGATTGGCTGTTGATCGGTTGTATGCGCTCGGTGGATCGCATACCGCAGTTGGCCGCTTGTGAAGATCGCGTGTGTGGTGGCACCTTTAGCGCCGAAGTGGGCACCATTCAACGAACTGTGCAATGTAAGTGAGCTGCTGCGGAGTGGTCTTTTGGATTGGATTGTGATTAAGTACTTTCATTTACTTTAATTTAGCGAGCGTGCGTCCATTTCGTTTGTATTTCCATACGGATGGGGTAGAGGCGCCAACGGATGTGGACAATCGGGGCTTTTGTTTGGATTTCGTGCAGCAGCCATGCACAAATGGGTTTTAGGGTTTAGTTTGGGAATGTTTGTGTTATTTGTATCCTACGTAGTTAAGTTGTTTTGTATTACTGAATAAATTTAAGAAAAATGTTCCATGTAATGAAGAGCTAGTGAGGGCATATAAGGGATAGTGCGAATATGTGCGGTTAAGCTAAGAAAACTAAAACGTGGTAAGAAAAGCTTATTCGTCGTTTTTGATTTGACATGTTCTTGATTTCGCTAGTATTAAATTTAGGAACGAAATGGCTGTTGACCTTAACACGCCAATGAAAGGCTCATTATCCATTTTTACCAGCGTTACCTATAGCTAGTGAAGAAGTATACTCACTCTCCTGGACTCCTCATTTTTGATTATCTCGCAAAGTTGTTTTTCAGAAGCAGGACCAAAGTCTACTCCTCGGTATCAGTCCATGAACCAGCAGGTTTCGGTAAACATCATCCGGATTTTTATTGCTGTACTTGAGAACATTCGTTCTGAGACTGGTTCCTGATGTGTTACACTGCAATCTACTACACCACTTTTTCAATTTCACCATAGGCATTTGCTTGTGGGACACGCAATGTATCTACCTCATTGCCAGATGCAATGAAAAAGTGAAAGCTCATTATCCATCGTACAATTCCAGGCTAGTGCTTACCAATATTCAGAACAAAGGTAATGTCCAAAATTTCCCATCGACTTTTCTTACTAAATATCGTGGCCCTTTTTTAGCATTTTACGTTTCATGGATGGCAGTCTAAGTAGTCGCCCGTTTAGCTCCAGACTAGTCAATTTTGTAACCTTATAAGTATCCGCTGAGGCATCACTTATCAATAATGTACCATACCGTCTTGAGCCCACAGTTGTTTTGTCTCGCCACTCAGAGCTCTTGTATGTGGACAAAAGTGTAAATTTCTTTTAGCATAATTGCAGCTAACAATAAGGAAATCGAAGGAGAACACAAGCAAAAAGTTATAAAAGGCTTATCCTATCTAACCAGGGCTAGATCGCAGGAATGTCAGCTTTTCGTTGGATAAACCCCGAGCCATTCCAATGCGTAAAACCGGACGTCGTGCTACGGACTGCGGGACGAGATTCGGAACTATGCACGTCAAGGTAGAAGGTATATCTTACAAAAATTTTAGGATCGGTTGGTCTACTGGGACCTGGTTTTAAAGTATATGTGAAAACTTTAGGTCCCTTCCCTTTGTGTAACAACATCTAGGCGCACGCCAACAATCGGGGGAGAAGCTCGGCCCAACACTAAAATATGTGTAAACGCCAATCTATTTATTATAAGTTGATCCTTTTATAAAAACGAAAACATATGTATATTTTGGTATTTTAATTCAACAATTTTTTCCGATTTTTTTATTAAAATTACGGGTTTTTTTTTTAAACTAAATCATCATTAGAATTGCAATTGAAGTACGCTTAATACAAAATAATAAATTAAAAGCACAAACTGCAAACTTTTGTTTTTAAAACTTTTTTCATATAAATATTTAAAATTTTTTTTTTTTATATTTTGCTTTATTTATTTTACGCATTTTTGGTTATAAGATTTTCACCAAAATTTTCAGATCATGTCCAATATAAATATTATATAATTTCAGTTAATTGAAGCGCGATAACAAGAGAGTGAATACATTACTTAACCAAATCAAAATTGAAACAAAAAAAACTAAAGAATTTTAATCTAAATCCATCTTTCCATCCTCCAACTAAGTGAACCCATAAGATTTGGGAAATTCGTTAATTTAAAGATAACAACTAACATGCGAGTGTACACAATAAAATAAAGAAAGAAATTAGAATTAATAATTTTACAAAAATAAGAAGAGATGTGAGAAAGTTTATAATCGATAAGGTCTAATAATAAAATATCGTTGTTTGACTACAATACATTTTGTATATACTTTGTATTAACTAAGTAAAAGAAATAAGCTTTTCGCAAGTATCGTTAACTGCCGTTCCGTTTACTCCACAAAAACGCTTTCCAGCTTTCCCCACTTTACAGCAAAAGGGATATTCTGAGTAGGTTATTATCGTTCCATTTGTAAAATTCAGCGCTCCACGGGTCAAATATTTCAATATGCAAAATTTCAATTTTTTTTTTTCATCTATCGCATTCGACTCATTGGCTCCTTTTGTTGATTTACAATTTCTTCTTTTCCGCAAGGCACTTCATTGCTCTCCAATCCGTCGCTTTACTTGCTCACTGGTATCGCTTGAGATCGTCCAAAATAAAATCAATAAGGAAAATCATCTAGGTATACTAATCGTGTGTTTTTTCAAACTTCTCTTTCACGCTTCTCAGTCTGTTTCATAGTGTTTCTTTCTATGACGCTACATACAGTCTGTCGACGACTACATAGGACTACTTAAAACGCTAATAGGTTTTTATTAAAGCCGCAACGTGTTGTTTCTCCTCCTCCGTTAGACCGTTCTTAAGCGTACGACGCACTAAAACGAAACAAATAATCGAAATTAGCTGAGGAACTAGAAATTCATTTGTATGGGGGTAGCAGTGTTAATTTAAGGCAAATGATTCAGTTAGGACATGAACATACAAGTGCAGTTAAATGACACAACTAAATATTTCGAGCATCGATTTTTTAGTGAATAAGATTGCCGTATTATCTCCATGCACTGATTTTTGTTAGGTAATATTCCATGCGATGATGATAGCTTTAGCATAGTCAGTGCCGTGACTGACTATTTGTAGATTCAAACTTTTCTACCTTGGTACTGTTTTGTGTTTTTTAAGCATGTCACAATGTAAGTCAAAGATTCAGCAAGGATCTACCGATAATTTAGATATTTGCTGTCAAGTTTCGCAAGCCCTCTATCTAGAAGTAAGTACGAACTTTTGCTTCGTACTACACCGAAAGCCATTAGGGTTATGTCACATGTCCTAATAGTTATTCCGGTTGTAGGAAAGTTCACCTCAATGGTTAGTGAGACATTGCAATCTATCTAGCAAGGTGAGTAGAAAAGGAGGCTCGAGGGTTTAATCCCTCCAAAACTGAACTAGTTCTGTTCACATTATTCAAACGATCAATTGTCAAGTAAGCGAAACTGTGTGCTGAAATGCCAAAAAGGAAAGATTCTACAGTGGTGGTTAGACCTATTTTCATCTTTGCGCTATACTCGCTCAACGCCCTTAGTAGCGTTAAAGGCACTTCTGTACTATCCACTTATAAATATCTATGTGAAAATCGCCACAGCTAAAATCACTCTGAGAATTATATCGTATTTTCAGGATGCGGAATTAGACTTTGAGCGCAACTTATAATAGAAGTCCATTTCTCCCGCGGAAGTAATTGACACCGTTCTTCACATATAAGCCCAAGATGGACCTAGGAACAGGATGTGGCGTGTTCTCTCAGAAACTGTCTTCGACAGCGGCCCATAGACAGCCCGATTACTGAAGCGTATTGCAGGCTGAGATATATAGGCGAGGGATGTTTCCAAAGATCTGGGAATTGTGCTATAATTAAATTGCGCAGAACTTATAGGCAATTATTGGTGCCAGACAAGTCTTGACATGTTTATGCAACTGTTTAGTGCCATATTATAGAGTATGATTTAGGTGTTCGACTGATATAGACGCGTTTTCATAGTACTGTTTTTGTAACCATGGAAGATGCAGCAAAATCTCAGAGAGCAATAAATTTATTTTTGTGGAAAGAAGGTGTGGAAACATCAGAAATTATTCAGCGGACCACGCTTGTCAAAAAACAGCCTGGAAAGTTACATAAGCACCCTTTATCGCAACAGGATAATGCAGGACCACACACCGCTAGAAAAACGAAGGATGTTTTGTACGATTTACGATGGAATTGCTTCGGCACCCACCTTATTCAGTGATTATCACCTGTTCCCTGTGATTTGAAAAAAAAAACACATCCGGGGTATACGATTTGAAAGTTTAACTGAGTTAAAACGAGCCATAAATAGGCGGATTGTGGAAACACCGGAAAAGTTCTTGGAGGGCGGCTTAAAAAAATTGTTTATCCTTGGGATAAATGTATTTAGTTAAATGGAGATTATGTTGAAAAACTACTTTGTAATATTGACAAAAATTTAAGAAATACAAAAAATTGTAACTAAATAATTTTACTTTCGGATTGCCTTTCAACTATTTATGTATATTTTCGGTATGAAATTAGTAGATTTGTGGATTCATGCGCAAATGTGGATATTAGTAAATCATTATTTATTGTATGGTGGGCGTTTTGGTCAAACATCTTATTTTTTTTTATATTTTAATTGCAATGCAAACAAATTGCAAAAGCGAACATTAACTTTTTCAAAGTCAATGATAAATGATCCATGGGTAGGAACAAATTTTGTTTTAGATAAGTACATATATTAAGTCATTCGGTAGCAGACATGCAGTTCTGTTAAGTTCGGCTGGCAGGTTTCAAAAACAATTAATGATAATTTCAAAAATTCGCATTTAAAAATCAAAAACTTTGCATGCTTTTCAAAAATGGCCAACTTGCCAACAACTGTGCGCAGTTATTCCACTAACCAATTGGCCAATTTAACGGTATGCAAAGCCAGAGACGCTTTCTATGGCGATGGTGCGCGTTCAACTGTGAATCCCTCCCGCGTACGCGACCGCTTCACTTCAGCCAACAATGCAAAAGACGCGATTGCGATTGTTTCGGGGGTTTAACGAGTTGGCGCAGTGACAGGTGGGATTTATTTTCAAATGAAGAGATTAACAAATAAATGAAGTGAAGGAAAACATTTGATAATTCGCGAGCCAATGAGAGTACCCAATTTGGAGTGGAGATAGTTATTTGTGGACATATGAAATTAATAAAAATAAAAAAATGTGTAAGTCAGGTTAAATCGTTGAGCTGTAAAAATATATGGTTAATACATTTTTTTCTATAAACTAAAACTATTTTAGCTACCAACACCACTGTTAAAAAAGTTGTATTGATCCTGCACAAAATAGTCCCAAAAAATTGCGCAAACATCAAAAATTTTCAACGTGGTAAGCCAAAAACCGTTAGCAGGATTGGATCCGAAATTTAGAATTTTGTACGTTCGGTTTTTTTTTTCTTTACTGGAAATGATGTATGTGTTTGTGTGTGTGTATTTATTGCATGTGGGCTTTGAGGTGAAAACTTGTCTGAAAGTGGCTTTGAATTACTGCTTGAATGCTCGTTTACACAGCCGATACTCTGGTGAAAAACGAGTTGTGAATTTATTAAAAGAATCCACGCAGCGCTATTGAGCCCTACACCTACATACTTATGTACATTGGTATGTATGTGTGTGTGTGTGTGTGCAGCCAACTTACATGATTTGCGATCAGCATGGCGTGTGCGCTTCCGTTCGCGCGGCGTCGTGCGTGTACCTGGCGCTTTGGTCGCAGTCTTTACCAACGATTCCAGGATCTCATCATCACCATCGGTGAAGTTCTCCTCGCTCTGGCGCGCAATGGGCGAGCGCAAGTTCTCGGCGCGTCTGCGGCGCCACGTCAATGTGCCATCGGCTGTGTCGGAACTGGGCGTGCCGAGCAACACTCTTAAAGGGAAAAAGTAACAAAGTGAGTATTAGGCTTTTAGGACTATTTTTAAATCTATTGCGTATGCGTACTTCAGTTCCGCATCGGCGCGATCCTCTTTGGTTTTAAATTTGGCCATATCTATAATGAGCTTGCCACGCGTCTTATTGCGTTCGCGATGGTTCGCCTTCTTCTCCAGCTGCTGTTGCACGCGCTCACGTGTAGTGCGGTACTCCAGCGCGAACTCCGAAAGAATGCGACAAAATTCGTTTGGCTTCGATTCGGCAACGCTGTGTTGGGGTACGCCCAGCCACAGCAGGAACTTGCGATATCTGCAAGCAAAGGGATTTATAATTCTTTTCCAACTGCAGGAAACTACAGTTTCAAAACTCAACACACCTGTTAATCACACGCCGATGCACGATTTGCAGAATGATAATGCGTTCCGCACAGTCCGCCAAGAAGTCAACCAACTTCTGCTTCAGCTGCGGTGGACAATCGTGTTTGGCAATCAACTTGAGGCGATCCCACGAAGCCTTGCATTCAGTCTCCAACTGGCTCAAGTTGTGTGCCAAATCGGAAAAGTCAGCCTTAGAGGCGCGCGTGATTGGCCCAATTTCCGAGTATAGATCCGTGGTGTCCGGACTCGACTCCATCACCATGTGGCAGAGATGATGCAGCAACGAATGCTTATGTACAGTGTCTTTGACCTCAGGTACCTGCGTGCAAAAATCAGTGCAAACCGGTAATGACAGGAAGTGCATAGGGAAGGCAAGCAAGACATACCTTGGATAAATACTCGATCTGGAAACCCTTAACTGGCGCACCATTCAAAAATATTCCGACGGACAGCAGCGTCGACAGAATGCATTTGAAGGTGCGATTATTTCGTAGAATTTCGATGCCTTGTTTCAGATCCATCAATGGTTCCGCAATTTCTTTCTGTTGAACGAAGCGGATTATTGAGTTTTTTAGCAATTTTTTATGGCATTCAAAACAACTGTATGCTTTACTTACTTCGCTATTATCGAAATCCAAGCGGAATGCCCACAGCTTTAGCCTCGCGCCCAACTCCGAAATGGTGGCCAAGGTGAGGAGAAATTGCTCGGCGCTGCCCAAAGGCAACTCTGGATTGGCCATCTAAAAGAAAAAGTTTAATTTTAAGACATAAGAAATAGGACGGTGCGCGTAATTTAAACATGCATACATACATAAATAAAGGAATATTTTTTCCGATTTTTTTTTTTTTGTAAGCAAATTTCCTATCCTATCTATTTTTGTAATATAATCATTACCTGCGCTTCTTGTATCTTGCCGCGTTCCTCATCCGTTGGCAACATATTCAATAGCTTATCGATGCCTTCGCGCGTCACCACCGTTGCATCCATCTTCAGTATCGCCGCTTTAATGGCACGCGGCGGTGGCAACTTTGTCATCGCAATATTTATGGCATTCGAGCGTTTATGATCCAATACGATAATCTCTTTGCTTTTATTCAGTTCTTGTTGTTTCTGCAATGGGTTTGTATATTGTATTAGAAAAATTACAAAAACAAAACTTGCACAGTCTAAGTTGAGATATGAAGGCGAATAGTGGAGTTTAACGACAGTTGGGTGGAACACATAGGCAAGAAATTTTATACATTTGTATGTATGTACTTAAAAATAAATATATGTAGTAAGTTTAAAAGCATGTGCATGAGAGTCTGGAATTTAAAGGAGAATGCTTATCGAACCATTTATGGTAGGTGTGTTGAAGCTTTTCACGAAAAAAATAAAAATGTTATAAGCGAAATGTTGGTATTGTGTTCAAGTAAAATGAGAGAGAAGTCTCTCTGTGTATTACCTTCGATTTGCTCAAAATAATGGCAGTCTAATTATACGGCACTAATCTATGTAGTTGAAATCAAATAAGAGCGATTACATATTAACGCAGCTTTCGGTCGTAGTATAGATTAGCGGTGCCCGAGCTTATGCGCGAGGGTTGCATCTGTGTGAAATTTTACTTAAATGTTACTTTTTTTCACTGCAATTTGGTTATAAAAATTCGGTACGATTTTCAGTCACTATTCACACATATTCTAAATGTGGTTGTATGAGGTAGGCCATCACTATAAGGATTTTATTGGCATGAATTTCAATTTTATCAAAATCAATTTAATGTAAATAAAAGCTGTGAAAAAGGGCGCCGTTGAGCTGGGCTGTGACGATTCGTAGGTGTGCTCAAGCGAAGAGAGACTTCAAGCCTCAATAAGATGAATAAACAGTAGCATATAAATGTCTCCATTTTCATCAAATGGCGTACAATGTCAAGTTAAGACCAATTTGTAACGAAAACCAAGCCTAACTTAGCAATACTCCATGTAGTCCTTAATGGTCACTAGTCTCTTGGCTTTCTGGCCGGAAAGTTAGGTATTCTCTAAAGCGACTGTTACAGAAGTTGTAGAGATTAAAGCGAATAAGAAACAGATGGGAACATTAATGAGGAAAGAGAGAAATGCTTTATAAGAATTTGAGAGCAATCTTTCTGTAGGCCTCTGGTATAAAAACCGTACTTGATTGCTACTTGCGCTTCAGATTATTGACCATGTTTCCCAATAAATTCGGTACTAATTTCTCGAAGGTGATGATTTCGGTATCCGTATTGATGAATAAATTCTCTATAAATGGTTCTTTGAGTATACACACATACATAGGTTGTCGCGTGTTTCAGGCTAAGGTTTTAGCATGAAAAATGACTAACAGAATTTTTTACCAAGGTAAGGCTTTTTTTATATGAAAGCTGAATTTTTTTTTTATGTACATACATACAGTCAGTCAATAAAGTTTAGGTATAGCGAATTTTTTACAATACGGGCAACTATTTTTTAAATATTTTAATTTTCTATAATTTTTTATAAAAATATGGTCAATTCTACAACAAAAAACCCAAAAATCAGGGTTCCGAGCCTTGTGCAAAATTATAGAAAATTCAGCAAAATTTCATTCAAAAATTGCACTTTTTATTTACGCTCTCTAGAAAGAAGTTGGGTATGCAGTTTTTTACCCATTCAATTTTAGTATAACAAAGTGCAAGTTTGTGGTGGCTAGAACTTACCATTGATTTTTAGGAATTTTTTTTGTTGAAGGTGTCGCTCATTTTCTCCATATAAAATAATGTTTGATAATTTTTTTATATGGAAAAAATGTACATATTTGAGTACTAGGTACTCGTATACGAAAATGGCGGAGTAGCTTGTAATCGAGGTTCGTCCGCAGTTCCCTAAGTACCAGAATTATTTCGCGACCTCAACTGAAAAAACTACCGTTCGTTGGAGTCTGAAAATGTCTCGGTTTTTTGAAACTGATGTCGAGCTACATTTCTCTAATTTTATCACCGAATGCTTTCTAGTTAAAACTAAAGCTTCTAGAAGTTACATTCTGGCGTCCAAGGAACAGTAGTTTTGATATAACGAAGACGCTGAAGACAGGCACAAGTCCGAAACCCATTTGTCTTCACTCAAAGCTTAACAAGCGATGACGGAAATTCGTTCCAATATAGATAGATCACCTTCTCACCTTAACGAAAAAATCAACCTAAACACAAATTACAAATGCATAATCAGTAGGAATCTGTCACTCCGAAAGTAGTATATAAATTATATTCTTTGATCCCTGGATTCGATTTCACTATGGCGAATATCTTCAGTTACGTGAAAACTCGTTGTCATAAGCGAGAATCAGTAAACTATGTACATCATAAGACGGAGTGTTGTTACGATCGCATGCCTGGCAAGAGATGTGGGGACTTATAATTCGTGAAATACGTCAAAATCAATCAAAACGGGGATTTTGGATTTTTACTTAGTTACGGCTTTTTGTATTTCAGCGACGATTTGTGATAGGGCCCTTCTATATTAAGGATATGTGGATAAAATGTAGATATGCTTGAATGTTTGTAGAATGGCGTTGACTATGTCACAAATGAATGTTCATATGTTCAATTAATCATTCTTAAAAATAACGAATTTTCCAACAAAAACATAAAGAAACACTTACGAACATAAAACCAAAATTGCACCAAAAGGTAAGTAATACATTCATACAAACATAAAAAATGCTTAATAACATAAACTATGAGATGCATTTGTGTATTTTAGTTACGTAAATTCTGTGACTGACTGCTTTGCAAAACATAAAGAAACAGGTAATTTTTTAAATAAATAAATAATATCACCGATCAACAACAACAGCTATATATAATTCTACACAGTGTTGTACATAGTGTTTGTGCAGAGTGAGTGAACAGTGCGGAGATGCAGAGGAAATGTGTTTTTATTTTTTTGAAATTCCAACACCATTTTAGAAACGGAAACCAATAACTTGAAAGAATTAAATGCACTCACCTCCTAAATTTTTGTTTTTTTTTTCAGTTATTCGTAATTTAGTTTGTAATTTAGTTTCGTGTATTTCAACGAAATTGCATTGCATTTTGTTTGTTTTTTATTTTTCAACACATTGTATTCAACATACAGACATATATCCATAAAAATTCCATTGAGACGAAGAGGAGGAAGTTAAGTTGGTAGCATGTGGCATAACATTGTATTGGTTTGTATACATATTTTTTATTTTTTTTGTTTTTTTTTTGCATTTGCATTTCAACATAAATAAACATAGAAGAGTAAACAGAAAAGAAACGTTGTATTGATTTATTCACATAAATATTAAATGTATCAGAGATCAGCAAGTTGTCTAAGCATATCAAAATCTTAAGCAAAAACACAAATACATTTTACCAATCACCAAATTCCCTAGAACCGCGAAATTGTTGCACGCAATCAATCTCGAAGGTTCAGCCTAGCAAGCTGTTACTCTCAAGACTTCGTACCTTTGGCGTAAGTAATTGAAAAAATCCACACTCACCTTGGTCATTAGGTCTTTGGCTCTGGACTCGAACAGGTGCTCCAGCTTTTGTATGTCCACATTTGCCTGCGGCAACTCATCCCAAATGGTTTTGCCAATCACAACGGGTATCATATCCTCGCGCACCTCCTTCCAAAATAATTTCACCTGAACCAAAAAAAGAAATAAGGAATTAAAATGCTGCTGAAGCAGTCAAAGAGCGTGTAGTACAAACCGTTTTCTTATTCTTCTTGATGGTATTCGTATTGCTCACGTCGCCGTTCATGGAACCATTCATGGAGCTGTTGGCGCTGTTCGTCATGCTGCCGTAGCCGCTGTAGCTGAACATCGGCGGTGGCACCATGCTGGCCATACTATTCATAGGTGGCATCATGGGCGGCGGTATGCCACCTGCGAATGGTGGTGGTGGCGGCGGTACACCACAGCCAAGACCACGCGGCGCTAGCATATCTTTCTCGTCTTCCGAATTCAAATCGGTGAAGTCTAGATCACATAGATTTAGTGGGCGTATCATGTTGCGTACCAATTCCTCCCAGTGTAGCTCATTTTCGGATTTTTTCGGCTCCACCTTCTTGATGTCCTGATCCAGGCTGGACGAGCTGAAAAAAGGAAGCGAGCGAAAAGTGAGGGTCTATTTTGTTGGTAGTTTGAAACTTAGAAAATAACTTAGTGCCTGGTAATTAATAGTTGTGGTAGTGTTGTGCCTTAAGAATAATACTGTAGGGAAAAGCTGAAGTTTTGAAATGACACAAGAAACGCTGAAACACACCAACTTAAGATTGGGTCGTAGACTGCGAATGTCTAAACCGTTCTCGTAGATCAAGTCATTTTCCCAAGATACTTCCATTTTTATGAAAAAAAAAAACCAAATTTTAACAGGAAAAGTATAAGAAAAAACAGATTTTTAGTATTTTTTTCATTTGTTTTAAAGCCCTTTACAAAAAAAATTGAGATACTAACAATGAAAATCGATGGATATATAACAAGTTGTGAATGGTCAAATGAAAATGTGCAATAATTTTTTGTGTGAAGTAGGGGCTGGAAATAATGTTACTCATGCCTAATGTGACCAACCGTACTTCTTTCGGAAGTACAGTACTTCTTTTTTCGCTCTTGTACTTCGTACTTCGAAGTACAGTCAAATGTACTTCTTTGCGGGATTTTGTACTTCAAGAGAGAGATTTTGTAAACAGTTAACGACAATTTTCGGATCGCTCGTTTTTGCGTCAAAAAGTGCGATAGCAATTCGAAAATTGTAGCTAATTGGTTTCATAATCTCCCGCCAGGTCCTGTACTTCTCCTATCTTCTGGACGATCGTTACATGGCTATAAATTCGTTCAAACCTTAAAGTCGCTGGGGACCGATGGCGCAGCTGCAAAGGGCTCTGAAGGTGTTGTGCAATTGGTTGGATCCTATTTATGTGAACTGCGTGAGGACCGGGTACATCCCCAAGGCTTGGAGGGTAGTCAGTGTTGCGTTCATTCCGAAGGCCGGAAAAGGCTTTCATGTTTACGATAGGGATTTTAGGCCTATCAGTCTCTTTGTTTTTGCTAAAAACGCTAGAGAGACCTGTACATAAGAAACGCGATTCCTTGTGACTGTCTTTCAAGAGCTCAATATGCTTATTGCAAGAAAAGGTCGGTGAATGAAAAACCGGATCCTTTTATGACTTAACCCAACCTTAGCTGTACTTCTTTGAGCTATGAAATAGTTGGTCACATTACTCATGCCCCATATCGTACATGGCCGTACTCACACATGGCGTATAAGTAACATTTTCCATTATAAAGGGCTATCCTCAGTTACTTTGCTATTGCTGTAAATTCTCTTGAAGAAATAAATATTTGAGCATTTGTTCTTGAGAGCTTTGAAAGATTTTGATGGACGAAAATTTCTTTACCATTTCTTGGGCATCATTTTTTAGGAATTTTTCGTTTTCCTAGAGCTGCAGACGGCCCCTTGAGTTTGATTTTTTTTCATTCGCAATGCCTACTTAAAATGAAAATAACTTAGAAAAATCACCTAATCTAGGTAAATGGTGTACAGATCCGCATTTGTGCATTTTTTTTTTGTCATTTTAGCATCCCTATAGTGTTATTAGTAAACAATTTTAAAGGAAAACTTAGAAATATGTAATCACAAAACACATTACTGACACAGTTTGGTGATTTCCTCAACCCCTTCGCCACATTCAAATTCAACAAAAATATGAAAATATTCCTAAGTCCTGTTCTAATACTAAGACTGGTATAAAATAAAGGCTTTTTGTTCAGATTCGGCGCACCCTTTAACGCCTGTGTGATTTAACAGTTTCGCTTTTAATTTTGATAAGTGTAAAATAATAATATATGCTCGATAATAAAATTTATATACATACATATGTATCAATGATTTAAGTAAAAAGTGGAAAAGAAATTGTTAGATTAGCAATATGTAGATTACCAGGTGGGCAGGTGCGTGGAATAAATATATCGCTGCTGATATGATCCTATCAATTAAAACATTGTTCATTGGCTTATCTTACCACACAGTCCACATATGTACATATGTGCGTATGTGTATACATACTAGCGTTCATAAAGGCATAAGAACATCCAACAGTCTTGTCTTGACGGTTATAGATTACAATATGTAATTGTAAATCTCAAGTGCCTTCTGATAAAAATTCAATTATTGCAAAAAAGTTAAGGGTTCGCAATTGAAAATGCTTTTGCATTAACATATAAAATACCGAAGAAAGTGGCTTTGCAACAATTTATTTATAGATCTTCTGCAGTTTAACACCGCCTGAAAAAAGGCCAAAGCTTTCACCAAGAAGCCAACCGATGCTGAATTCTTGGAACTCTACGGTTTGTACAAGCAAGCTACTGTCGGCGATGTGAACCTTCCAGCCCACGGCACACTTGACCTGAAGGCCGGCCAAGGCCAAATTTGATGCGCGGAACAAGGACAAGGGTCTATCTCAAGCGGGCGCGAAGGCGGCCTACATTGCCGCCTATGAGAAATACGCCTCCAAATTAGAGCTGGAAAATTATCGATAGTATTCCCCATCGATAGTTTCGATAGTTTAGGTTATAAACCATCGATAGTATCGTTTCGCTATGAATGGGTAATTACGTTTAGAGTTGTAGTTTTATATAAATATTCTTCCCTTTATTTACATACTTTCATACATGAAAAATAATCGAAAAAGCCTTTGCGACAATTATTTCCCAGTGGGAATTAGGAGCACGTAATAATACCTTATTAGCAACTTACTCTTCACCTGGCAGTCATTACCATTTCCCTGCCGAACGTCCCTTACTTTTACAAAGGCATGGCCGCCTTATGTAAGTAGGAATTTAGAATGTACATTTGGTATCAGACATACTTCTGAGCCGCTTTACAAAGTAAGTTACGTGTAATGCAGAGCAGTCGCTCGGAGTAGTTCGGTGCTTGGAAATAACTTCGGCTGCACGTTATTTTGCAACTGACAACGTAATGTGTCTTCGGAGGTGTTCATTTTGCCCTTTACTAGTAGATGACATTGGCCATGATGACAATTTTGGTACTAAAAACTGAAAGAAAACATGGCTTACCTCGCAAGGTGCTTACCTATTTTCCCAGTGGGTTTGAAATTAGAATGTTAGGGTATTGGTTAACGAGAGGAAACTATCGATAAACAGAACAGAACAGAAAACGACACTATCTATAGTGCCCATAGTAGCAATAAAATGCAAACCATCGATACTATCGATAGTGCCATCGATAGTTTTCCAGCTCTACACCAAATACGTTCAATGTAAATTCTTTTTATAACAGTCGTGATATGGATAATCTAGCTGAATGAAATAAATATGTACTGACTGATTGATATGGAAATCTAATCAATATATTTTATAAATTTGTAGGTAATTACAAGTTTATGTGTAGTTTAAGTAGTTGTTGAAGCAATGTAAATTAATAAAAACCTTTAAAGCCATTTTAGTGAAAAATTATTATTTCTTGTTTTAATTTAATATGGAAATTTATAGAAGGTAAAAATAATTGTTTAATTAAATCCATAGTGGAATCGGCGTAAATTTTTTTTCATACTCATAGTTGTAAATGAAAATAAATGGAGGCGTATCGTTAAACTCCAAGAAGGTTCGAAACTATAAACTTTTTGTAATATTGGGTCTTAGAGCTCTGGCGCTTCTGGAAATACTGCTCCCGCTAGAAGAGAAGCCAAAATTTTTTTAGTACGCCCTATGCGGTACTGAAGGTTTAAAAATTCCGTTCCATGCAAATCTATTCACCCTAATGCTCATAAGTGTAGGTGTTCGCAATGTATCTATGCCAAATGTGTAAATGTTATCTTAAATTACACGCCATTCCATTTGTGACTGGCGGGAAATTTTACTCCAGAATGTGATCAATTGTGAATCATAACACAACAACAGCGAAAGATGCTTTTGAAAATTGAACGATATCTAATATAAAAAATTCCTTTAAAAAACATGCCAAAGGATTTCTTAGATCTATCTTACTATGACTTGAATGAATGCGACTGGTGAGACATTGTAAAGAACTCTATTTTACCTTTGTGCACTCAAAGATGAATTTTAACCTAAACACCTAATTTTTCATAATATTCATAGAAATATTAAAAAATATTTAAAGTTGTGACTGGTGGGACAGGTACTTGTGACTGGCGTAAAGAAATTATGTATGAAGTAAAAGTTATCATAGAAAAAAATAACAGATTCCTTTTTTTAATATTTTTTAAAAGATTTACTACTCAAATAGATATAATTAATGCATTTTAAAATTTATGTCGTTTTATTCCATACATGGAATGACACCTAAGCTTTCTTATGCAATAATCCTAATCTGTACAAGTTTTTTATCTTCGGCCACCCCCTGTAAAATTGTTTGTTTCAAATTTTTGTGGAACATTTTAAACCTCAAAGTGTATTTTTAGCGTCCTTTAATTTTATCTGCTTTGAGAATGGGTTAAAAATGCCCTTTAAGTACGAGCTGGACTGAGGAGATTTCCTTACATACATACATATGTACGTATAAGCAAGCTCATAAGCGCTAAGTAAACAAAACTCACTTCATAATTCCAAAAGCGCAAAACAAAAGCTTGGCTACTACTTATCCCCACAAAATTATTTGCGAGATTTAAGTTCTTTCGTAAGATCTGCCGTAAGTCAATGGAATTTGTCAATGAAGTACTTTTTCAGTTAATTCTTTCAACGGCGAGAAGTATTCATATGTTTCAATCAAGCATAAATATATATTTACTTTATTCCAACACTACTCAGGAAATCAGTGTATTAATATAGTCACGCTTTATAGATAAGCATTTTGCACCAATGTAGATTTTTAAGGCTAATCCCTCATTCAGTATTTCTAAGCATAAATCAAAGTCGTATAATATACAATATACATAAACTTCACGTCAATAATAAATAAATATGCCAACTGCTTAGTAAACGCGATAAGATTTAGTTATAGTAGTACTATCGAAAAGCTAACTGCATACATTTCTCCTGGCATTCGAATATAAAAAGAGGGTTCCATTAATTTGTGCATTCAGTTCAGAGCTTAGACACTAAACAGCACATAATGGATGTAAGTGTTTTTGGGGGATTAACTATTAAACTATTGATTAACAACCATTTAAAATCTTTCAACAGTTCCACACTGCCAGCGAAAAAGCCAAAGCTTTCACCAAGAAGCCAACCGATGCCGAATTCTTGGAATTCTACGGTTTGTACAAGCAAGCTACTGTCGGCGATGTGAACATTCCAGCTCCCGGCGCTCTGGACCTGAAGGCCAAGGCCAAATTTGATGCGTGGAGCAAGCACAAGGGTCTGTCGGCAGATGACGCGAAAGCGGCCTACATTGCTGTCTACCAGAAGTACGCGCCCAAATATGCTTGAGCGAGCAAAATAAATTTGTTCAATGACATTGAACTATTGAGTGGACATAACAAATGCTTTTGTAATTCTTTATAGTGCGTGGAACGTGAAAATAAATTATTTTACCAGATTAAATGGGTGTGTGTTTTAATTCAACCTGATTAATTGCAGAATGGGTGTAATATGATATGGTTTATAAGAAAAATTTAATCTAGGCATATTTTAATCCCTAACATGATTTCACTTGGAAGCTGAAAATTTTACTGTACAGTGGTATTTTTTAGTAGGATAACTATAAAAAATATAAAAGACTTTTGTAGAAACATTTGCGTACAAACAGTTAATCCAGCTGAAGGAGTTCGGAAAGTCCAACCAAAAGTAAAAAAAAAACAGCGGCATTTGAAAGGATATACACTTACAAATATATT